AAAAAAAAAAAAAAAAAAAATTTACGACAAAGCTAAGTCATCAGGGCAGTGTGGTATAAGGATAGATACACACCACTATACAACATGTACATGTAATGGAATTCAATTTGTAGCCCCTAAATCTATTAATATAAAAAAAAAGGAAAGAAAAAAAGACAACAAATAAAAAGGACATACAGATCACTGGAATAGAACCGAGAGTCCAGTAATAAACCCTTATATTTATGATCAATTGATTTTGACAAGGGTGTGAAGATAATTTAATGGGGGAAAGAATAGTCTTTTCAATAAATGGTGCTTGTCAAACTGGATATCCACATGTAAAAGAATTCATTTGGACACCTACCTCATATCATCTACAAAAATTTACTCAAAATGGATGAAGCACTTAAACGTAAGAGTCAAAACTATAAAACTCCTAAAAGAAAACATAGGTATAAATCTTCATGACCTTGGATTAGGCAACAGTTCTTAGGTATGACACCAAAAGCACAAGCAACCGAAGAAAAAATAGATAAGTCAGACTTTGTCAAAATCAAAACCTTTTGTGCATCAAAGGACATCCCAGGCCAGGCACAGTGGCTCATGTCTGTAATCCCAGAACTCTAGGAGGCCAAGGTGGGAGGATCGCTTGAGCTCAGAGTTTGAGACCAGCCTGGGTAACATAGTGAGACCCTATCTCTACAGAAAATTAAAAAATTAACCAGTGTGGTGGTGCATACCTGTAGACCTAGCTACTCAGAAGGCTGAGGCAGGAGGATTGCTTGAGCCCAGGAGTTGGAAGTCACATTGTGCTATGATTGTGCCACTGCACTCCAGCCTGACATCACAGAGAAAGTGAAAAGGCAATGCACAGAATGGGAGAAAAATTAGCCAGGCATTGTGGCTTAAGCCTGCAGTCCCAGCTACTTGGAAGGCTCAGGCAGGAGAATCACTTGAACCCAGGAGTGTGATGTTGCAGTGAGCTATCATGAGTACCACTGCACTCTAACCCAGGCAACAGAGCCGGACCTTGTTTCAAAAAAAAAAAAAGTTAAATACACAATCAACGTACGACCATGCAATTCCACTTACAGGTATATATCCAATAGGACTGAAACCACACATCCTCACAAAGACTTGTACACAAATGTTCACAGCAGCATTATTCACAGTAGCCAAAAGGCAGAAACAATTCAGATTTCCATCAACTGATACCCGGACAAACAAAATGTGGTCTATCCATACAGCAGCATGTTGTTCAGTCAAAAAATGAAGAACCGAGACATGCTACAACATGGATTCTGAAAACACGATACTAAGTGAAAATGTTAGACAAAAAAGGCCACATACTGTTTGATACCATTTATATAAAATGTCCAGGATAGGCAAAGCCATAGAAATAGAAAGATCAGTGGCTGCCGTGGGCTGAGGGGTTGGGGGTTCTGCGAGAAAAGGGAGTGACCGCTAATGGGTGAGGGGTTTTACAGGGACTGCTGAGAATGTTCCGGAATTGGATAACGGAGATTGTTGCACAACTTTGTGAATATACTAAAAACCACTGAGTTGTATATTGTAAAAGGGTGAATTTTATGGTATGTGGATTATAACTCTACAAAGAAGTAATATAAAGCTGTTAGAAGAAAAAAAGGAACATGTTGACAATGACATACCAAAGGAGTCCACCTGGCTGCAGGCAACAAGAGAGTTTAAGAACAATAATGAAACTAACTGTAAGTCAACTTGCTTTTCATTACCGCTGGACACCAGGTGTGCCGAACAATGTCAGTGATAATTACTCCCCCTGCAGGGTGGACGGCTCCCCCTGTGCCACTGTTAGCACGCCCCTGTGTGCAGAGGAAACATGGGGCATGTGTCATAACTCTTATGTATAACCTCATGTTTGCACAGTGCTTTACAGTTCACAAAGTGTTGTCACAGACATTGCTGTCCCCATAGCCCTGTGAAGGGAGAAGAGCTACCCCACGAGGACATGCAGCCTCCCTGTGGCCTTGACCGCTAACACAGGACGCAGGACCAGACTCCTGATCTCAGCACACCGCCCACGTCTGACAGGCAGCACTCGTGTCCTTGTAACCAGCCCTGCACCTTGTCCTCTACCTCAGCTTCCTCATTCCTGTGGGCTCACAATGCCCAGAATGCAGATGCTCACGACCGAAGGCGTTCACCCAAACTCTGGATTTCTTCCCTGCCTCTACTTAAGGGCTGTCTGTTCGAGGACTAACCACTCCCCCTGCACCTGCCTCCACATATGGCAACTTCATGTCTTTTCCAACAAAGTCACAAGATGGGGACCAGCAGGGGTCTGAGCAAGCAACACCCTAAATCGCAGCCCCTAATTAGAAATTTTAACAGAAATACACTTAGCACAGGAACCAAGCCTACTAGATCTTTCAGAGTAACTAAATAGTGCACTAAAATCAGACTTCTTGTGATTTGGGGGGGTGGGACAGCCAAGAGAACAAAACACCCCACGTTAGAATACATTGTCAACTGACAGACAGCAGGAGTTGGTCAGGGGTAGGAGGACAGGAAACAGAATTTCTTCAACAAACCAGGAAAGGCACTCCGATGCTGATGATAGCATATGTCCATGACTAGATTGTAAGTGACTTTTACTTTCTTCTTTATACTTTTGGGTATTGACTTTCCAAAAAAAAATATTCGTTTTGTAAACAGTCAGAAACCAAATATTTTTATTTGGAAAGGGAAAAAACTTAAGTGTTGGCTCAGATAATATTTAATAATTTAAACTTCACAAATATCAAATTCCAAACTAAAGATGCCAGAGACGGAGAGCGTGTTGACCCTGGGGGCACCCTCCCCTCCACCTGCTGGGCGGCCTGTGGAGGCAGTTGTAACTCTTTTCCCCAGTAACAGCATCCTGAGGGCTTCCGTCTCACTGAGGAGCAAGTTCCTACCAGTTAACGTGTGCTTACCTGCACAGGTGGCTCAATCATTATCCAGGCAGGAAGCATCAGACTGGGATTTAGAGGCTGGGTTCCTACACGGAAGTAAACGCCACCCCTGGAATCACAGGCCCAGATGTGCTGATTTCCACATGCCAAGCTCGTCAGTCTTACGGCTCCTGTAGACCAATAAAGGAAAAGTACACACGCTGCGATTACCTTTGCACGATGACTAACCTTTCATTTAATCTATGAACTTTGATTTTATATTTTAAAGAAAGAGATGAGGCTGCACTTTCCGTTGAACTCTGATGCCGAGTCATCTCTCTGTTCCAGTCCATCCACGTCAGGTGTGTGGACCTGGCTGGGCTTGAGAATGTCGTAATTCAGCAGAGTCACGAAGGCCTCTGGCTGCCCTGCCACCGGCCAGGCACCACAAGGCGCCCCTTCTAGGCTACAAGCAAAGTAGTCACGGTGCTGTCAGCACAGTGCCCCGAACCACCAAGCACTGGGAGTGATATCTCAACGTGGGTACCACCGTCAACTTCATCAGACGCGTGGATATTGCCAGCAAATTCTCGATTTGGGAAGAGGGAACTCATATTTACAGATAATCTTGATCTGAATTAGAATTAAGATTATCTAAGTCCCTCGAAGAATCTTCATTTTTAATTTTTATATTTCCCTTTGTTAATTAAACTGATTGTAAGAGGAAAGGAAATGGGAAGTGCCTTTTAACAAAAGAAATTACATTTGATAATAGTCTATTTGGCAAAAAGAGCAACAGTCAGTAGTTACTGGGCAGCTGCTGCAGGACAGGCTCTCAGCCAAGTGTTTTATGTCCTCATTTCAAACTTCGCAGCAGTGACACGCGGTTATCACCATCCCAGTTCACACGACGCCATGAGACTTGGCCATGAAGAGATTTGCCCAAGATCAAATGGCCTGAAGGCGGCTAAGCCAGGAGGCGAAAGGTAGGTCAGCTACTTCTGACTTCCAAGACACTACGCAGCGCAAGGCACAGATCTACAGTGCTCAAGTCCAGGTGTGAACGTCTTTATCACCCCGGAAAGTTCCCTGAAGTCCCTTCCAGTCAATGCCCTCTACCCTGAGGCAACCACCAGACTGATTTCTGTCAGCACAGGTGATAGAATCACAGGCATGCTCTTGTGCCCGGCTTCCTTCACTAGCACAGGGAGATGAGATTCCTCCGTGGCGTCATTCCTTCCTACTGCCGAGTGGTGTTCCACTGCACGCGGACGCCGCGCTCAGTCTGTCCACTCACCGGCGGATGGACATGTGCGCCATTTCTACTTTTTGCTATTAGGAGAAAAGCTGCTGTAATCATTGTGGAAGGCTTTGTGAACATGTGTTATTTTTCTTAAATAAATACCTGGGAGTGGAACTGCTGGGCCACAGGGCAGACGTCTGTCTTGCTTTTAAAGAAACTGCTAGTTTCTCCCATGGCTGTGCTGTGCTCCACCCCCACAGCAGCAATGGCTGCCGCCCGCCCCACCGCAGTCAGCACGGGCACCTTCCCCGCAACTAGGAGGTGTGATGCAGGATGTTGTCATGGCTTGAATTTGCATTTCCTTGCTAAGGAATGATGTTGAAAATCTTTTCTCGAGCTTATGGGGCATTTGTACACCTCTTTTGTGAAGTACCCATTCAAGTCTTTTGCCCATTTTAAAACGAATTGTCTTCTGACTGCTAAGCGAGAGGAGTTCTTTGTATCCTCTGGATAAGTCTTTTGTCAGATGCACGTATTGTGAATCTAGTCTGCGGCTTGCTTTTTCATTTATTTGACAGTGTTTTTTGATGAGAAGTTTTTAATTTGGATGCGTCATTTTGATTTTCAAAATGGTATGCAGTTACATTAGCTGATGGTGCTGCCTGAGGAAGGGGCCTGGGGCCTGCGGCAAGACGCCCACACAGGCTGGGTGGGTGCCATGAGCATGGAATCCAGAGGTGCTGCCTTTGCACAGCTGACACTGATGTCAGATGACAGCCCATGTGAGTGAACCAAAACGTGCAGGCACGATTCTGCCACGTGGAAATCTCATCGTGTGCCTTCAGTTACAACATCAACTTAAAACTATCAATGTACCACTATAAAAAAAATTACCATTATTCCTTTGTGCATTTCCTCAAGATGATGATTTCTTTTATATTAAAATTAATTGTACTCGAAAGGTGGCCTTACTAATAACCTATCTAACAGAAAGTAAGGGGAATAAACTCACGGCACAACTACCCTTTGTTTAATTAAAACACCTGTGGCCTAACTCATTATCTCTGAGTTCTCTCTCAGCCTTTAAGAGCCCTAAGAGGACAGTAGGGTGCAAACTTCCCGCTCTAGCTCTCTGTCTCAGTTTCTGCCAAAAAACCAGATTTCAAGGACTCAGATAACCCAGTCTCACAGAGAAAAGAAAAAAATAAAGAACTCCTTGACATCTTGCCACCACTTCTGTTATCAGTCTGCTGAAGCAGAGGGCAAAAAAAACACATTTTTACCCTTTAAAAACACCAAGCAACTTTCCCTCTGCTGCCCGGCATTTTCACTCCTTCCTCTGTGTGCCGTAGCCACTCTTTCCTTTTCTCTCTCTTGGGGAAATAAACAAACTTTTACTTCTGTGTATCCTAATCACTGTGTGAGAATTCTTTCTCCAACCTGCTGTCAGCATCTAAGTTTCCACCCTAACAGTATTTTTCTCCTTCCTTGGTCTTGTACAGAATGTCTTACTGGGGAGTTTAAACAGAACTCCCTAGAAGGACTGTATATTCAGGGCAACTTGAATCTATGCTCCTAGAAAATAAATCTTAAAAAAAATAAAAGAACTCTCTGGAATTCTAATATTACGTATGAAAACATCTGTACTAGTCAAAATAAATTACCTTCAGCAGTAAACTCCAGAAGTAGCTGAGAAACAAATGCTAATTAAAAAATTACTTTACATTCGGGTCTTCGATCTGCTGTAAGAGGAACTCCAGACAGTGGTGATCATGCTAATAGAGTCACATGGTGACAAAAACACACTGGGCCAGAATCTCAGAGTTAGCAGTAAATAACAACACTGCCAACAGAACAGGCAGCTCACATTGCAAGGTGAACATCCTTTATGAATACAAAAGCTGCTAGAATATATACTTCAGTTATGAACCTGCTTATTCTGAATTGAAGAGGCAGGCCAAAGATGAAACAGTTTAATTGAGGGTGGTCTTTTACCCCACAGAGAGTCGATCAGTCTGCCAGAAAGCATAAGGACCATGAGTCTGTAATACAGAGGAGACGGTCAGGACCCAGGGTCGGAGATGCCTGCCCTCCCTGAACACTCCCTGGCTCCCTCACATTCCTTCGGAGTTCGATAGGGCCCCATGACCAGTTCTGGTGATGGGCTGTGAGCACAAGTGATCTGTTGCTTCCAAACTGAAGTATCAAAGAGCCGGCACAGGGCCTTCGCAGCTCTTTCCCTGTTGTAGGGAGCAAGACTGTGGAGCCAGAGCAAAGCAGGTAGATCAGGAAGCTGCCACCTGGAGGACCACCACCCAGAGGACCCACACAGCAGAGCTGACTTCACGGGAGCAGGGAACCACTGCTTGCTGTGTGAAGTCACTGGTGTCAGGGGCTTGTTACTAAAGCATAACCCAGCCTAACATAGACACACCGAAATTTTCCTGCCTGCTCTTGTTTTTTTTCTTTTCTTCCTATTAAAAAAGAGTTACTAGGCTGGGTGAGGTGGCTCATGCCTATAATCCTAGCATTCTGGGAGGCCGAGGCAGAATGATCGCTTGAGCTCAGGAGTTTGAGACCAGCCTGAGCAAGAGCGAGACCCCATCTTTACTAAAAATAGAAAAAATCAGTCAGGTGCAGTGCATACGCCTGTAGTCCTAGCTACTTGGGAGGCTGAGAGGCTGAGGCAGGAGGACTGCTTGAGCCTGGGAGTTTGAGGTTGCAGTGAGCTATGACGAGGCCACTGAACTCTAGCCAGGGTGACAGAGAGAGACTCTATCTCAAAAAAAAAAAAAGGTTTTTAGTTTATTCAACAAAGCAGACATTTTTCCTTTAGGATTACTTTTTTTTTTTTTCGCTTTGAGCTAGAGTGCTGTGGTTTCAGCCTAGCTCACAGCAACCTCAAACTCCTGGGCTCAAGTGATCCTCTTGCCTCAGCCTCCTGGGTAGCTGGGATTACAGGTATATGCCACCACACCCCGCTAATTTTTCTATTTTTTTATAGAGATGGGGTCTCACTCTTGCTCAGGCTGGTCTCAAACTCCTGAGCTCAAGCGATCCTCCTGCCTTGGCCTCCCAGAGTGCTAGGATTACAGGCATCAGCCATCGTGCCTGGCCCGGATTACTTTTTAAACATGTATTTTAAAACAAAAATGGATTTATGTTTTGCTACGTATAAAACACTTTTCTGCATAAATTACCACATAATATAATCCTGTTTGTTACCTAAAGGAATAAAATGACACTTTATGTTTCCTTATTAAATACTGTGACCTGATGAATTAAATTAAAAATTGCATTAGTTTGCTAAATATTCCAATGCCTGACATAATGCATATTAATGTGTACTGGGAAATGTTATGAGCATCTTAAATATCTGTTAAGTGATGCAAATTTTCCACCAAAAAGTAGGACTGCATAATAATAAATCATTGTAAAATTTCATATTCAGTCTCTACAATTGGGTTCAATAACCAGCTATTTAATTTAAGAATTCTTTTAATTTAATCTTAAAGCAGCAATCGACTTGGTAATTTGTACAGGGGCAGAAAGAAGAGAGATGCTGCCTCTTAAGGAAAAAAATTAAAGGTAAAAATCATGTTCATCACTTGATACTTCACTAAAGACATCCTTGAAATTGAAATTTCTGTTGCAATTTAGAGAAGACTGATGATGTTCCAGACTTTACAGTGACCTGGTGCTGCCCAAGGTCAACACTACCCCTGAGGGAGCACGGATCACGCTGCCAGCAAGGGCTGCTCATTGCTACTTACATCACCAGGAAGACGGGCTTTTTTGGTTTTTATGTTTTCAATGTCAGAACACTTGTAAAGAAAAGACCAGAGCTGAAGAGAAGAACATGTGTAAATGTACTTCTGAACAGCTTTTATAAACCTAATGACTTCTGCCTAATGCCCTGGGCAGGCTGATGGCAACTTGGAGCAAGAGCCAAGACACCTCCTGAGGGGGTGGGGTCATGGCACCCGCCAGGCTGTGTGCGATGGCAACTTGCACCTGTGTGTTAGGCAGTTTTATCTTTGATTACAAGTAACGGGGCCAAATAGAGGATCAAAACTCATATCCAAGAATTGCAAATAATACTGACTTTCCCTGACACATAAAAATCCTATTGGGCACGCAGTGTGGCCAAGCATTTGGTCCTGCCTGCAAAGCCCCTACACCCTCCCTGTGTAAACATCTACTGAAAATAACATGAGTCAAACTGAAATGACTGTTGTAGCAGGCAGAAGCATAGTGCTCCAGGAACACAGTGGAAAAGTGTCACGACGGGGACACTGACTGAAGATCAAAGGAAAACCCAGGGAAGGAAGTTCTAGACCACAGGAAGAGACGCAAACAGCAGGCATGAAAGTGCAAGGTGTATCTGGGAAGAGCAATGGCTGGGGGTGGCTGCAGCCCCTGCCGCATGAGGCCTGGGAATGGCAGGCTGGGCCAGGTTGGAAGGCCCTGGGCACTACTCCAAGGACTGGAGCTTTATCCTAGTGGCAATGTGGAGCCACTTAACAGTGAGGGCAACACCACCTGAGCTGTGACTGAGGAAGACAGCTCTGGCAACAGCGGTGGGAGGTGGACACACCTGGTGCCAAGCAGCAGCCACTGCAAAGGAGCAGGGTCGTGGGGAGGGAACTCCACCCTGGCAGTGGGGGAGGGCAGGAGAGGACTAGATGGCACAGGAGACCCTCTCAGGGAGAGGGAAGGCACACTGCTGACCGGACTGGCGAGGAGAGAGGCAGAAACTGCCGAAGAGGACTCTGCCTGCCCTTTCCTGCAGAATTCAGAGGGAGTGAAGGAGTGAAGTAAGGAAAAAGAGCACATCTGGGGAAGGATAAGTGTGATATTGAACGAAATCCTCAAATGCAGAACCAGTCTTGAACAGGCTGTGCTTCCCTTCATTGCTATGAGCACCCTCATTGCTGACTTCTGAAACAGCAATGAGGCACCCCAAGTAATCCCAGGTGAGTCATCCAGGCAGCATTAATGGTAGCCAGATGACCCCACTCAATACCTGCTCCACGCACGCTGCCTGATGACAGCCTGCCCTGCTCAGTCACACCCTGGGTCCTGGGCAGACAGCACACACCTCAACTCAAAATCTGTAATCCTTAATTTAAATACATAATTATAAAAAAAAAGCCTTTTGAACCACCTGCACGTCCCCCAGGTACATAGACCACGCCCGGATAGAGTGCAGTAACAGAACACCTGGTGCCCCTGGCCTGCCGTCTGCCACCCCCCACGCTGACACAGCGCAGGCCAGCTCCCCTGCCCCGACACAAAGCCCACCCACTCTGGGCTTGCCGCATTCTCTCAGGAGCCTTAGAAAATGGGGAGAGGAGTCTATCCATCATTTCAGTATCAACCAGATAACCCAGATAAATAAACAAAATCCAAAGCTCAGACTAAGAGAAGCCGTGCTTTAACAAGTGATGACAGAATCGGCCTCCCTGTGGCACAAACTGGGGCAGCCCAAGCAAGCGCTCCCCCACCAGCCCGAGGATTTATGCAGCTAATGATGGCTTGAGAGTGCCCCCAACAGGATGCGTCACAGCTTTCAGAACGCTGCACTGGCTGGAGATGGTTGACACTTAGATGAGATGCTTACCTGCATCATCTCGGGGGGCTGGGGTTGGGGATTTCTGTTCCCATTAGAAAGGTGAGGCTAAAGGTAACAGGCAGCTTGCCCAAGGTCTCAGAGCTGCCCAGGGGCCAGATCTCCAGGCACAGCCGGTAATGCTCCGTACTGCCTCTGCGAAGAGTACCTGTGCCTCTGCCTGCGACCGTCGGTGCATGCACTGCCTGTGTGATCCATTTCAGGCTTGGCTGGATTTGATTTGCTAACAATTTTATAGGCAGCAGGGGTGGGCTCAGTGAAAATCCGCCCATCCATGGCAACCAGGACTCCCAGGCCTCTCCTCTGCTCATGCACCCATACCCTCAGTAAGCATCCACTGAATGCTGCGGGCCAAAGTGCACCTGGGACTTAGGATGGCTCTGCTCCTGCTTTCTCTGACTCCCAAACTAAGACTCAATTGCACTGAAGCCAGTTTCTCCCCTAGAAAGAAAGGCTACCTCCCCAGTGAAGCCAGAATGCACACCTCAGAGACCTGTGCCACTCTAGCCAGCTAGCCCGTGCTGGGAGAACTGGACTGAGCCAGGAGGGAGGCGTGAGCTGTGCTGGAGGCAGGAGGCCCAGGCAGAACTGGCTCCAGCAGTGTGGAACCCGGCACGACGCCCATTCACTTTGTACCCCACTGCTGTGCAGTGCTCTCCTCGGAGGGGCTGGGGCCAGGGAAATAGCTCTGCTTCTCACCCAAGTCATGCAAATGAGCATAGCCTTCCACACTGTTCAAGATTCAGGAGTGGGGAGAACATACCATGCCCTGGCTGTTTTACCCCCAGAAGGAACTAGCTGCATCTCCCAACTGGTCTGAGTGGGGGCTGCTGAGAAAGGTTCAGGACTAGTAGGGTCCCTGAACTCTGAATAAATGAGGCTTCCCGGGGCAGGCAGCAGGGTCACCCAGCACCAGTGTTCAGACCACTCCCAGCCTCAGCCCCGTCTGGTCAGTCACTGTCAGTGGGGAAGGGTGGGGAGGGCAAATGTTCTCAAAAAGGTAGAAGGTGACAACTAGGCCCAAAGCAAATCAAAATTGCCCTAGAAAATTCCTAGCTTTGGAACAGAGCTTGCTTTTTTTGTTGTTGAAGAGAACACTGTTGCCCAGCTAGAGTGCAACGGCGCAATCATAGCTCACTGTAACCTCAAACTCCTGGGCTCAAGCGATCCTCCTCCCTCAGCCTCCTGAGTAGCTGGGACTATAGCTGCACGCCACCATGCCTGGCTAGTTTTTAAAGTTTTTTGTAGAGATGGGGTCTTGCTGTGTTTCCCAGGCTGGTCTCAAACTCCTAGGCTCAAGCTATCCTCCTGCCTTGGCGTCCCAAAGCGCTGGGATTACAGGAGTGGACCACTGCGCCCAGCCAGAGTTTGCTTCTTTATTTGGGAACTAACTTGCTTTTTCAGTTGAGCTAGATTAGTTAGGTTCAGAGGCCTTGTCAGACAACAAATTGCGCCGTCTACCCAGCACTGTGCGAGTTCCGGGGCTGAGGGCGCTGTGTGCTGCTGGCCTGGCTCAGGCTTGTCTGGGGCAGTGCCCATTCTAGGGAGTGGTGAGAGGCCCTTGTCCGCAGAGCGCCCACAGACACTGCGATGCAGCCAGGGGCTGGGGGAGGACAGAGACAACCGGCCCTCCTTCTCTTCTTGCTTGCTTTTTTCTCTTTTTTTTTTTTTTCTGATGAGTACATGTGGTTGAGTTCTCAAACATTAAAATGCTTGTACAATTCAAGTCCACCACATAACCAACAAAATGCTGGTTGTCAGTTTAAAAAATGGGAAATCTTGCAGCAGGGAAGCATTCCTAAGTCAGTACTAATGAAAGTTCTAGGCTCACCTGACCCCTGGGAACCATCTGCATAGCCTCCACCTCTAGGCAAATCACACCTACGCTGCTGGTTGATCAAGAATTTATTCAGAGAATAATCTAATGTTGTGGGCTGATTTTATTATTTCTTGGAATAGGAATAAATTATTTACAAATAGCAACATACTTCTTAGCCTACTCTGTGTAACTCTTGAGGGGAGGCTGGCAGAAAAGCAGCAGTTAGATGCATATTAGCTCTTCTGGGCAGAAGAAAACTGCCACCCGCACTCACTGAGCAGCCAGTCTGTGCTGGGCACTCTGCAGAGGAGACAAAGTGGCACTGATCCCGGCATAGGGCACATCCATTTTTTCAGATTTAAAGGTCACAAAGCTTAGTCCCACATTCAGACTGACGGAGGCAGCTGCATCAACAGCATTATTTCAAGCAGTTCTTGGTGGCGACTTTATGTGGGTGTATGCTCCCTCCTCAGGTTCTGAACAGCCTGCAAACCGCAAGGGGTTGAGGAAGGGAGGCTCCTGACCAAATCGAGAGGCCCACTGAACCTGCAAGAGTGGCCAAGTGATCTCCTGAAATCCAACAACTTACAAACATCATCCAAGAACTCACAAGCTGAACACAAGCCTGGGCAGTTTTGTCAGACGTCTTGCCCTGATGTGGTTTGGGGCAGTCAGGACACTAGCGAGCATACTCACATGGCGGCCATACCTAGTTGGGAAAGGTCCAGCCGGGTCCAGTGCATGCCCGTGGGGCAGCTCTTGGATAGCGTCCTGATAAACACCTGGCCGAGGCTGTCCAAGGCCCACAGCGCGTCCTGGCAGGCGGCATAGGCCCTCATCTCCGTGTCGGGAGGCAGCTGCACCGTGGAGGGGCGGGACTGCGCGCTCTGGGCACTGACGCTGCACAGGTCCTTGCTGCTCTGGCACAGCCACAAGGAGCTTCCTGCAGAAAAGTTCACGTTTGTCATCGATGTGCTCTGTCCATACCGAGCCACCCTCCCTAAATGCACAAGGCAACCTTTGCTTCCAGGAAGACACCCAACACTTGGCCACAGACACCAGTCCACTCACTCACCCAAACCCACACCACAGGAGCATTCTATGCACTTTCAGCCAGAAGGCAGAGGGAAACACCCGACCAGCCGGCTAACAAGAAACACGCCTGAAATATTTTAAAGAAATGGAAAGAAAGCAGGGCTTATAAGATTTTATGACGGCTACGATGTTGGCCTACTGGCTCTCACCTCCCATTTATAATGGACCGGGAAGTCTTTGACTTGAACAAAGGCACCAGAGCGTTTTTAATAGAGAATGTTAAATTTCACTAAGAGGAAAGAACTATGGAATCAGTCCTCTGGAGGGAGCAAGTCCTCAGAACAAGGAGCTTTCCTTGTTCTTCTGGTGATGGGCTGAGAGGGTGGACCGGCTGCCAGAGAAGGCTTAGGAGACTAGAAATCCTTCTCTTCCCATCCCTGCCTCAAAATTACAGCCTTTCATCCCCTCTATTTTTTATAGAGTCCTTTAGGTTTAACAGATTCTAGTTAAGATACAAATAGTCCTTGGGGAAATTAAAACCTTATTGTATTGTCTAAAGTATTATCTACAACCTGTGGCCAGATATGTATTGGAATTCACACTTTTTTCTTGGTTTTGCACACCTAAGGTAATGGGTATGCCACGGATTTATCTAACAGCCACGGAAGAGGCAGCAGCTCCTCCCAGTGAAGTGCAGTGATATTCCTGCAGCAGCATGTATGCAGAGTCACAACCAACAGGATAAAGAAAGACCGTAGGCCTGGTGCGGCGGCTCACGTCTGTAATCCTAGCACTGCAGGAAGCCGAGGTGGGGATTTGTTTGAGGTCAGGAGTTTGAGACCAGCCTGAGCAAGAGCCAGACCCCGTCTCTACTAAAATTAGAAAAAATTAGCTGGGCATAGTGGTGTGTGCCTGCAGTCCCAGCTACTCTGTGGGAGGCTGAGGCAGGAGGATCGGATCGCTTAGCCCAGCAGTTTGAGGTTGCCGTGAGCGAGGCTGAGCCACGGTACTGTAGCCTGGGCGACAGAGTAAGACTGTCTCAAATAAAAAAAAAAAGAAAAAAAATAAAAAAGAAGAATAAAGAAAGACTGTAAGTAACCTCACATCAGATCAGGTCAAGTTTTGCTGCCAAATTAATTTGTGTCAAACCCAGGAAATAACTTACTATTTTCAGAAATTGTTAGATTTCAGAATTGTGATCAGAACAATCTAGAGAGTAAGAATTTATTGTACTGACCAAGTCATCTACATCTTAGTGGGACTAATGGCTTGAACTCACCAAACTGCTTCCTCTTAACCATAGACTTCATGGTGTGTTCCCATTTAATCCTCAGAGCAATCCTGGGAGGAGGTACAGCTACTTCCCAGAGAGGTCACCTGACTGCCTGGCTCCCAGCTAACTGGGTGGCTGCGCTGCCTCTCCTGGCTCCAAACCCCAGGCTCCGCGAGGGGCTGTGAGTTCTGCCCAGAGTGCAAGTCTGTGCGAGTATCCCCTGCAGGGAAGGTCTGCCTAGTGGGGGAACAAACGTGGGACTCACAGCCAGGCAGCCAAAGATTGTGAGTAAGATGGAAAGAGGTTCCTAAGAGGTGACAGAAAAATTCACAAGGGAATGGGAAGGTGCCCAAAGAAGCTGTGGCCCCTGCAATGTGCCACACAGCAGGAAGTCACCTGCTACCAGCCCCAGTGGCCACGCTGTACAATCCCCTCCTTCAGAAGGACACCCTCAGCTTCACCAGGCCAGATCCCTCTCAGGGGATCTCCTGGCCAGGCCCATCCAGCTTTGGGGCCTTTGGCTCATCCAGTAAGGGCTTCTGGCCCGTGACACTGCCATGTCTTCCGTCTCAGAGATCCGAGCAGCTGCACCTCCATCACCAGCTAGACCACGGTCAGACTGGGGTTTGAACTTTTTCAGCTGCCAACCCATGCGTTAGATTTCTCAACCACGCTAAGACCAACTAACCTTCCTTCGTAGGAGCAGCAGAAGCCAAGACGAAGGCCCATTTTGTAGCAGAAGCTGTCCCACGGGGAACAACATTATTCCAGTAAGTGCCTAAAAAGAAGAAATAGGAAGGGTATGTTGAAGAAAGAAAAAAACAAAAACACTTTAGAGCTTTAGTTCTAGACTATAGCTGGCCTTCAAGACCTCTTGCTCCTAATTCTAGAGTGTCCTTCGATTAAGCAACATGAGCCCACACAGCCACTCCTTCCTCCCTGACCACACAGAGACACATCTTGCCAAGGGTTGGAAGAGACTGGAGACAATTCATAAAGCAGGGGGTTCACTCCTAGAAAGGAACTCCCAGGACACGTGGATTCACACCAACGTTCACAGACCTGGCCAAAGCCTTATGTTGTTAACAGTGGCAATAATTTTCCCTCTGGGAAATGGACCAGTCTCTCATTAGGCTCCTCAGGTTGGATGAATTTTTCCATTTAAAATGTGAAATTATTAACATAAAAATGAGCTCCATTTGCTTTTCTTATATCATAATAGGTTTCCAGGGGAAACACACTACCTGGACAATGGGATCCAAGTTTTAGGAATGACAGATTAAAAAAAAAGGGAAAAACTAATCATAAAGCATAAGAGCACCTCCATTATAAACACTTCGCACCACGGGCACTAAATTATCCTTTGAAGTTAAAGCTTTTCTTTAAATGTTGGCTTTAAAGTGAAGCTGCCTATTAAGCCAATGTGAAAATTAAAGCAATTCACCCACCTAGGAGACTTCCTTTAGCGACATGGAATTCATTCTTGCCCGAGGAGATCCAGACACCGCTGTTATTGACTCCTAGAAGGCTCGGCTGGCACTGAAGCTGCTGAGACCAGAATGCCATGCGCAGTTTATCCGCTACCTTTTCTACAGGCGCTTGGGCTGCTGTGGCCACTGAGTGTGTGGCGTGGATTATTGTCTGGAATAAGCTGCACTGGTCGAACACCACATAGTCTGTGATGCTCACCTGGAAGCAGTAGATGAACAAAAACCCTGCTATCAGTGCAGTCACAAGCGCCTACTCTCTGCCTTCGAGGCAGGGTTCTGGCTCACCTCCATACTTCTGAATTTCTAGTAACAAGATGACCAAATACCCAAACACAAATGTGCACAGGTGCGTTTACAAAAAGACCAAAAAAAGTGTAACAGGATACCACCAAATTACAAGCTATAACTCCTTCTGAGGATTGGATTTAAAGGAATGGAAGAAAATGTTAACATTTTACTTTATACACTTTTCTATTTATACTTATATGGACCTGTTAAAAAACCATGTGTTATTTTTGTGGTTAAGTATCACCGCCTCATGCCCCTTCAAAGAAGCCTTTTATTCTAATCAGAATAGGAATAATCTTGCTTTTAAATTCAGGCATTTCCAATGGACAACAGTGTATAATACTTAGAATCATAATATGGGTTTAAAGAGGTATGGTAAGAAGGGTGATGAACTAATTTATGATCTGAACTGGGACTACTAATAATTACGCCAGGCCAATGGCATAAGAATAGGACCATCCTGGGCATCTAGAATCTAACCCTAGCTCAGATGCATCAACCGCCTTTATATTGTTCCTGAAAAGCATCTGCATAAACATCTCCGGAGACATTTCTCCAGACAACCACCTCCCCCTGAGGTAAACTTCTCCCTTGTTGGGCAGCTTTGATGGTAAGAAAGTTCTTATAAGACGAGTCAAAAATCTGATTCCACATGACTTTCACTCATATTTCTGCACTAGTGGATTTGAGTGTAGAGAACATCACTAGCATAAATGCCATACTCCTAGGACAGCCCCACGCAGGCCGTATTCCCAGGTCACAAACGATGAAATGTTGAACGAAAGTGACATCCCTTATCACAGGGAACCTAATTTATAATAAATAAAAACAAACAAAAATGAAAGGATTGTACAAGTCAGTACTTTCTCACACGTACAAATGCTGCCCTGACCATTCCTGTCTGTGGAAGGATTCACACTGACCGTGAGCCACTGCCCTGACTGAAGTTTATGCCAATGGCTTTAACCTCATCGGGCCCCCAGACCTCACTGCCTGGAGCCCTGTTCTGCACTCTCACGGGGGTCCCAGCCAGGCTGAGTGCTGGGGAAATGAACTCTGGGGCCTCGGGCACACTGCAGGGCTCTCGGAGACTTGCAGCATGCCACATGTGACAGACAGCTCAGGAGCTCCGCCCTTCCATGGGCATGCGCTGCCTATAGCACTCAGCTCACTGGAGTGAGCTGTGACTCTGCCAAGGCCAGTCACAAAGTCTGTGACAGACTCAGTCCTAGCATCCAAGATGTGCAGATAAGCAGGACGAAAATTAAGAGAAAGAAAGAAAAGAAAGGTTTTGCAGTCAAACATAACACTGGCTTTAGCACTACAAATAAATCTATCTTCCTGTATTTAAAATAAATCTGCTTCTAAGCACCTGAAAGATAGTTCTGTCAAATTTCTCCAAAGGTAATGTTCTGAATATTATGATAAAATGATATCTAGCTTTCTTCATGCCACTTAAAAACAGAATTTAGTACACATATATACACATAGGTGTATGTGTCTATGTGTACATATATATGGTTGTAAGTACACAGAAGGTCTTTTAAAATCATTTATATAACTTTATCAAATGTTACCTAGTATATCAAATTAGAGATGTATGCATATAGTATACATATTCATAAAAAAGCAGATACAACTTATTTTTCCACATTCTCATCTGAAAGACCTAAGAACAGCCAATGCAAGACAAACCTTCAACAAGGCGAGTCCAAGGTGACAATAAAACCTGAACCAACAAGGACATGACACTCAAGAGACATCACATATTTCACAGGTGCTGACTGTCAGTGCAACCTCACCTGCCACAGTGGGTGATCGTGGCAGCTACGCTAACACTAATGGAACCAAACAGGGGAAAGTAGAGACACCACGGCAAATCCATTCTAGGCCACTCTGGCGGGGACCAAATCACATGAAGTTAGCTTGATTATACCCTCCTCTTATTTCTCAAAGCATTTCCTTTTCTGGGAGCATGTGGGAAAATTCTCCTTTCTTTGCTGAAATAACATTTACTTAAAGGCCTTTCAAACATGCAGAGACAGCTGAATTTTAATTGTGGGTTGGGTTTTCAAACCTATTGTGTAGTTTCTTTTCTTAGCACATGTGTTCAGAATTAAACATCATTATTACCTACGTCTTCAAATGGATGTCACTAGATTTATTTAGCTTATAATGATAAATTTCTAAACAACATCAAAATAAATAAATAAAGTCGGTATTACTTAAGCAAAGAGAGCTTCGCAAATTATTTCCTATGATAAAAAGTCTTTGATGTTTCTATTGTACCCAAACACAGGAAAGTCTAATCCATCAAATGGTAAAAGTGAATACTATTGATTTAATTCAATCTCTTTAAGGAAAAGAGAAGGATATGAAATGGGACAGCTGACCCCCACCCCCAAGTCAGGGAGACCACCGGTATGTGGCACGGGAGCTGAACACCTACTTGCCACCAGTGGTCGTCATCTCCTTGGGGCTTCTTGGAAACAATGCCAGTTCTGAACCACAGGTTTCCGTGGATGTCCAGGGCCCAGAGAGTCTGCTGATCCCCAAGAGTTATGCAGACAGGCTCTAATGCTTGCCTTTCACTGAAAACAAGGAAGAGAACATGGGAGTCAGCACCCACATGTAGCGTGCCCAGCGTGTCTAAGACTGGCGGCACTGAGTGTCTCTTGGGGGGTGTGGCGTGGGAGAAGAAATGTAACTCTACTCACAAAGAGCGGATTATCAAGTGCCCAGAAAGGAAGTTTCAGTGTGAGTTAAATTGCTGTGCAATATAAATTGTCTAAATGTGTGGTAGCTTCTGAAAGACACACTGATGACCCAGAATGGTAGGGAACTCTCTCAAGAGAAAACAACCTAAGAAAAAGTGAGAAGGCACAAAAGGAATCCCAGGCCTATGAGTGCCATCTCTCTACTTCCTCCTTCACCAAGGGAGCAACTGCAAACTCCCCCAACATGCTGGGCTGGGCTGTGCAGATGCTGCCCTCTCTGCTGGCTATGTCCTTCCCCTCCTTCCATCTGGGCAAGTCCTCGTCAGCTTCAAGGCTCTTCCGAGGGTCCATTCTGCATACTGCCTTCCCGACCTCGGCAGTGGAGTCCACATCTCCCTGGGTGCTGCGTGCTCCACGCTCTCGCTTAGGACCATCTATACTACCTGGTGCCTCTCCGTGCGTGTGGCTCCCCGCTAGACTGGGAAATAATGAGGGCAGAGCTGAGTCCCAGTCATCTTGGCACATCCAGCCCCCAGCATCATGCTGGCTCCAGCAGGTATTCACTAAAAGTCTACTGGGTTGCTGAATTCAAACCAAGAATATCCTAATCTAGTTTTTCTAAGGATTATTAATACTTCCACATTAGTAAAATCATTTGATGGCAGTTCTGTAACTAAAATATTGAATGGTAAAAAGTAGCCTAATATATTATAGTTCAGAGATCAATTTCAATTGACTAGGATGAAAATAAAGAAAAGTATTTGGCCCTAAGCCATCATAGACTCTAAATAGAGACTATCTGACAGTGGGCAGTTCTGAATAGAGCCTGTCAGGAGAGACTCATGACTCTGTGATGCTCTGGGTCACGTGGAGGGCAGCAACACTTTTTGAAACTGAGCTGTGACCCGATACCCAGGCTGGCTGAGAGGCAGACAGAGCGTCTTCCAAGATCAGGCTGCTGGAATCGGCTCTAAATTCAAGAGAACACTATTACCACAGAACCTTCAGGGCACTGGCTTTGCCCAGGAACGGGCTCACACTGTGCCTTACGAGAGTCAATTGACAAGAGCAATGACAAGAACAAACAAGATGCTGTGGAAGTCCCTGCCCCCTGGCTGGTACCTGACGATGTCACACTTCCACTGCTCCCCTTCTGGGCAGAAGCTGCTCACGCCCTCCCGGTACAGGAGGGCCCTCTGCTCCGTCAGCGCCCACACCACGCTGTTTCGGGCTGTGATCTGGGACAGCGGGTAGGGACAGTCAACCTTTACGGCCCTGGCGCAGGGGCGATCCACGCTGAGACCTGCCAGGAAGGTGGGAAGAAGCCCCCAAAGACACACAATCAGGACTTTCCACCTCATTTTGACTCTGTTGTTGTCTGTTGTTGGCTCGTTTTTCTTTTTTTGGTATTTTTTGTTCTTTCATAATAAGTGTTTTCTCTTCTTAAAGTTTAGTCAACATAACGTGGTTAAATGTTGCCTAAATATAACATCTATCTGAAGTAGTTCTGGACACTCTGAAAGCTGAAGGCCTAACAATTCAGAATTCTCTGCTGTCGCAGAGTAGCTTAAGAAGTTCTGAGAGAAGACGACGAAAGCCAAGAGTAGGAGAGCAGCCGCCAGGCCCAGAGGCTGCAGGGCCAGAGCAGGGCAGCCTCCAGAGCCACCCTCCTGCCCTTAGCGGTGCCCCTCATAATCTCAGAGAGCAGAGGGGTCTCAGCCACTGCTGGGCCTGAGGGATCTGAGGCCTCCAGCCATCCCTGTAGAGACAGCTCCAACGCAACAGCCCTCCCGTCTGCTCCGACCTGGGGCAGGCTTCCGTTGCTAAGATGATAACCCTGAACTTCCCAGATGAAGTCCGAGGTCCACCACACTGCAAGGCTGTGGCAGGGCCAGAGCTCAGGGTCCCCGACTCTCCGTCCAAGGTTCTTCCCCTTGCCTCTTTGTGGCCTGTCAGCAAAGCGTGTCTAAATGAGCTCAAAGGCCACTTCTCAGGGAGCTGGCAGAGCAGTTGTCACCAAAAACCCCGTATTCCTTAGCCTGTAATTAGGTCTCAGTACTCAAATTTGCTCCGACTAATGACAAAAGCACCCTATGGTATCGCACCCCTTGGGTTCTACTTCATTACACTAAACTAGGTGGGGCTCACCTGCAGGACTTAAATATAAATTCCTGGGCCAACCCCCAGAGACTCTAATCCAGTAGGTCTGGGTGGGGCCGGGCTCATCTGAAACCACTGCCCTGCCCTGGTGATTCCTCTGACACCACTGGGTAGGACGTTACCCACTCCTCACCCCTAGGCCAGAAACACCCTATCCCCACGACCAAAGCCCAAATGTTCTGGAAGCCAGATGTGCACGTGCCTCACTGGAGCCATTTTCACTTAAAGGAAGACACAGGAGCTAGAAAGGAGAGGCCTGGACCGGCACCTGGCCCATCAGGGCTCAAGGTTCTCACACATTTGGCAGAGAGCCAGATGTACAAGGGTTTTCAATCTCATGAATATAATCATTCTCAGCTGATAGTTCATAACAGAGATTAAAACATTCTCTCAGAATCAGCAACATTAAATGGTTAGAAGATTGATCTTTGCATAAATCCAACATGGCCTCTTGACAATCAAAAAGAACTCCTGCCCCACAATCCTGTCCACACACGGAAAAATCACTTTGCTTGCGGAAAACCACTTTCCATTTTGATGACAGTACATAAACACTGACTCTCATCAGTTTACTTTTAATAAACAAGTCCCACTGTGCCACTTTCAGCAGCTAAAGGCTTCCCTAAGGGCAGTTTCCTAGGACAAGCTGAACTTCTATTTAGAGCAAATTATTTCTTCTTGTTTTTTCCTGACCCACGTGTAAATAAGTGTGTAGGAGCTAGGCTTTGACCTGTCTGAAAAAAACATGGCCACTTAAGCTTAAAGAAGGAAATGATTCTAATGTCACTTCTCTGTATTCTTTCCTCTTACGATTTGATATTGCCGGCTAAATGATATGCAATGGTTAGCCACAGGAGAATAAAATCCTGTTTCTGTAGCTCATTGAATAATCCTATTAATTCTTGCCCCACATTTGTCCCAGGTTAAATTTGTGTCAGTAGCAGGAAACTGCTAACACATTCCAAATGGCAAATACTCTCTTTCCAGAAATGTTTTAATTTAAATTGATTTTTCGCCTCTTACTTGTTGTGACTGCAGTAAGTATGTTACTGCCAAAGCAGGGTGTGCCAGAGGCAGTGATCCAGGGCTGGCAGCCGTGAGCGCAGCCTCTCACCTGTTTGCAGGTACAGGTCCCCGCTCGTCCTGATGATCCAGGCCGTGTCGTCACTCAGGGCCACAAACACTGCCTGGGGCAGGGCTTCGTACCAGTGCCGCTTCCCCTTGATGGTGACCTTTCCACATGCAAAAGCTCGGTTAGATTTCTGTTCGATCTTCCAGAGAAGGGCTCCTGTGGAAATAAAAATTCTCTTCACTGTCCAATAAATATTAGAATCATCTACAGGAAAAGCTTCATTCTGTGCACTGTGGGGGACAGAGATTTCTAAGACACAACCTGTTGCTGAAACCCCAACTGATTTGACCCCCAGGCCACCACCTTTGGGCATCACGTCACTGAATGTCTCCAAGCCTCACTTTCCTCATCTGTGAAGTGGGGCCCATCTCTACCTTACGGGCTATTCCACAGACTGGAGCTGAGAACACACCAGCGACACAGCACACAGAGCTGGCACCACGGGCACTAGCGCTCAGGAAGAAGAGCAATGACGACATCATCAGGTGTGGTGAGATAAGCACCCAAATGAACGTTCTGAGGCACAACTAGTGCCCTAGGAGAGGCTGGAAAAGTCCTCTGGGTACTCAAAGGGAGGGAGCACTTCTGGCCAGCTAAATGGAAAAGATGCACGAAAAGAACACATTTGAGCTGGGTGGGCCTGTTTCCACTCAGAAGGGAGCACGGGGAGGGAGGAAAGAAGATAGGAAGGCACTGTGGACAGAGGCTGTGGCCAGGCTGCCGTGGCAAGGGCGCGGAACCGCCAGGGAACCCCCAGCGTGCAGCTGGGCTGGACTAGAGCATCCGTCGGGCATCTATGTATCAGGCACCCCGGCACGAGGGCTCTGATGCCCACCAAAGACATGGGCCCTGGGCCCCGAAGGACATCTCAGCTGAGCACATTAACCTCACGGAGATGGAGAGTTCCAAGCAGAACAAGAGACAGATTGGTCTGGAAATACGAAGTAATTAATATAATCAGAAAAGAACCAACGTTTCTAAATGGCTAGGGAGGGGAACCCAAAGGTACATGACAGAAACGGGAAAAGAATTAAAACACAAAATTGTATAACCTCAGCTAATTGAGTGGGTTGTTATTTCAGCCAATCTCTAAGGAAAAATATTTTTCAAACAAGCATTGAGAAAAAGCAAGTTAAAAAAACTCTGAACAAACTAGTATTTTAAATAGTGAAAAAGACCAGGGAGAGTTAGGGGAACTTCATCCTGAAACACAGTAAAGTTATAGAGGACAGGTCCAAGGCATGGACTTGGCTTTGTCTGACTTCTACTCTAAGCTCCTTACAAGAAGCCAGGTTACCTCAAGGCAAAAAACAAAACAAAGCAACAAAAAACAAAAACTCCACCAGAATGGGTACAGGAGTGGCCAACATTAAGAAACAACAAATGAGCAAAGGATTCCATGCAGATAAGGGAGGTCTTTCAGCCTAGTAGAACCTCATTCAGGAAATGTCAGCTCCAATGGACTAAAAATGCATGAAAGAATGAGTGGACTTTCCTTTTACAGTCAGGGAGTAGATTATTCACTCAAAGCAGATAGCTCATTAAAAAAGAATTTCTAAAAAGTAAGCCAAATAATTGGAATATATCCAACATATCCATGGGTACATCTTCATTAGTTTATTACTATAAAGCAACCCTGAGAAACAGAAACACATTTTATTTTTATAAGGAGTTAGTATACTAATATCCTGAAAAAATCTCTCAAAATTCAAACTTTTTGTATAGCTTACAAAAGTATGTTCACGGGTTACCACTGCAATTAACAAAGAAAACAAAAACTCAAACTGAATACTCATTTACACCATGAATCGATGTGAAATGAAGCAATTCATGTTCTTTGGAGAAAATCCCCTCAAACCTCCAACAAGAGCCAAGTCTTCTGAATGCACAGCATGGAAACCTAACCAGGATGCAGGGAAGTCACGTGCTAAGATGTCTGCACCTAGAGCTGGGAAGCAAGGAGCCGGGAGGCGAACCTGAAGGTGAGACTGCCACCTGCTGGACGGCATCTTCAAACTTCTGCCAGCGCAGCCCAGCGCACGGCAGTGCACTGCAGAACAGGCCACCTTTGTAGTCCAGGCACCAAATATACTTCTCGGAGACCGCCAAGCTGAGTATGCCATAGCCGGGACCCGAGTAGCCCATCCAGCTTTCTGCAAACTAACAAGGACAAAGCCTGGTGAGTTCTGTGGCAGTGGACAAGCCACATTCATTGTCAACAAGAGAAGTGACCAGAGTATCATGAAATGATACAGCTGAAAGAATCTTTCAGAAGCCATGCCGAACCCACCCCTGCTATCTTTGGATGCCCCTCTAGTAGAAACATTCTGAAATCGGGCTGTTGTCCCCTTGGTAAGGACCCCACATCATCCCTGGATAACACTCTGTCCTATCGCAACATCCTTCCTAAGATATTACCTGGAGTGCCGTATCACATTGCACAGGATCTGGTTTTACTCTGTGGGCATACCTCACTTTACACAAAGGGTGCGCTCTTCAACATCTGCATGCAAATCAGTTTTCTGTAGTCTGATCATTATCGACGCACCGGGGAAGCAGCACCACCACTATCTTTTTTCACCGTATTTTTCCAGCACTGTTCCAATCAGAAGCATGGCATGGAGTGTGGGAAAGGCTGCTGGAGGTTTGGCTGAGACACTGTCTGAATTTTGTAGACTAAGGTTTTGTTGCTAGGATTCTTTTAAAAATCAAAGCTAAATAAAGTCTTCGTACTTTAATAATTTTCTAAAAATGCAAAGGAAATCAATGTATTTGCACAAATACCCATATAGAAGTTAACCGCTTCAAAGGGAAGGGTGTCCAACCCTTCTCAATCCAGCCCTGCTCACCATGGCGACCTTATTCCCCCACCCTCAAAAAGAAAAATCCCACAAAATTTGTTGGCTTTCTAGCTCCCTGGAGGGGGATGAGAAGGGGAAGAAGTTTTTTTGGGGGGAGGGTCCTCAAAGGGTCAGGATCCCTTCTCCCTTAAGGGTTTCCCTGAATTTCTGGCCTAGAATCCCAAGACCCCACCCCACAGTCTGCCTGGCTGACACCTGTCATCAGCTTCACTTTGCTCAGCGCCCTCGCCTGAGTCCCACCAACTGCGATGACCTGAACATGTATCTGGCCCCCTGAGAGACTCCGTGGCTCACAAAGACGGGGCCTACAACTGGCTGCCACTTGCAGGGTGGTATCCCCAGCACAAACGCGGAGCCCAGCAGTCGAGTGCACTCAAGAACCACTGAGTTGAAAAGATGAATGCAGGATGACTGAATAAAAAGCCCGACCTCCTGGCATTTTGTCTCAAAACAAGTAAACAGTATGCTTCACTTTTGAGGCACAACAGCACAGAGTATGAGGGGGGTCTGGGGCCCGCTCTGCCCCTCACTTGCTAAGTGACCTTGCTCAAGCCATTGAAATGTTCTGAGCCTCAATTTCCTCTCTGTAAAATGGGGACAACACTCTATTTGTTTCATAGTTTTTTTTGTTTTTAGAGAAGTAAATGAGTTGAACTTTTAAAGTGCTTAGCAAGGCACCTGCACATGGCAAGAGCTGACCAAGTTTCACACGCCGTCAGCATTGAGAGAACCCAGTGGGCCACTGGAGAGAGATATCTGGCTGGGAGTACAGTCATAATCCACAACTCACATCGACGACTAGTAGGAAACGTCAAAATACACTTTTGAAACCAAATACATCTAATAATAACTACTTGCTAAGGAAAGTAAGTACTTTAAAAAGTATTTTTCTTTAATATAAAATGCCCAGGAACAGTCAATAATTGTCTCCTAGTGATATGGACTGGTGACCCAACGAAGACTAGACACCCCAAACATGGCTCCTGCATAGCTTCCAGAGGAGCTGTGGGGCTGTAGTTCGGAGGTGGCAGAGGCAGCAGTTCTGGAAATAGCCCTGTTCGTGCTCACAGTTCCTTGGAGGTGTCCACCTGAGGAGAAAGCCAGGAGTCTCTGCCTTCAAACTGCTCAGTGATTTCTCCACTCCACCAGTGGACAGTCCCCCGCCACTGATGTTCCGACACGGCTCCAGGCCAATTCAGCCCTTGCCTAAGATGACTAGCACTAAGTACCTACACTGGCCTGAACTTGCGGGGTCAGAACAAACAGCAAGATGCGGCTTTTGTTGGTAAAGTGGGTAGTGGACTCTTGTCTCCACAAAAAATTTTTTAAAAAATTAGCTGGATGTGGTGGTGCGCACCTATAGTCCTAGCTTCTTGGGAGGCTGAGGTGGGGGGATTTCTCAAGCCCAGGAATTCAAGGCTGCAGTGAGCTACGAGTGCACCATTGTACTCCAGCCTGGGCAACAGAACGAGACCCTGACTCTAAAAATAAAAGACAAACACACAAAAAAATATATTTGGCCTATAGCTTTTGCAGTGAGAATGTAATTTCTTTCCATAAGAAGGAAAATAATCAGTCTTGCCTATGATTTCCCTTAATTTAGAAAGAAGCCTTAGATATATTTCCCACTGCCTGAGCCCACATACCTGATCTGACTTGAGCAGCCCTGTGTCACCTGCACCTGGCTGGCTCAGGTCCTGTGGGGAGCGACTAGCTCCGAGCTCTGTCACACTCGTCTCTGAGGCTGAAGAAGGAAGCCCATGGGCGTAGATGTCCTCCTCGTCACTGGATGTCAACACCTGATCCCGTGAGGGGTGCTCAAGCCAAGGCTCATGGGTGCTGGCCGCCAATGCAGAGATTGGAGTCAACTGTCCTCCCACTCTCCCCAAGTCACATTCAGAAGTGGACGTTTCTTTCTGACCCGTGTCACTGTCAGTGAGAGTATGCCAGGGGTTTGAGCTGAGGTGGCCAGGGGCCCCCACTTCGGTTAGGATATCCTGCTCTTGGCTGGGCTCCTCGGTGCTGCCTTTGTCAGCTCTGGTCCCAGGCAGCCTCTGCTCAGGACCTGGGACCCAGCTGAGGCTGGAAGGCACCATGAGTGAGTCTAGGAGGGGGGCTTCTGAAAAAGTGTTTTGGGGGTCACTGGGCTCCAAGTCCTCCCCCTCGTGTGCCTGGGCAGAGTGGTCCTGTTCTTGGAAAGGTAACTGGTTGCTATTTGGTCCGTCATCCGAAGGACAAGGCTCCTCTTCCAGTCCTGTAACATCACTACCTTCCACATCTCCCCTAGGGAGCAAGGGTAAACTCAACATTCCATCGAGCGGCTCCAGCTCATGTGTGTGGTTACAGCGTGGAATTTCAATTCTAACGTGATCCTCTTCATCCAGTAAGTCAGGAGCAGGGTCAGGTACCGCCAGGACACTAAATGTTTCAGGGTCAATATTTTCCTGCAAGACTCCATTCACCTCGCCACTGAGGTTGCTTTCCTGGTCGGGAGACTCTGTGCTCAGCTGGTCCATGCTACTGCCCAGAACGCTTGAGGTCATGGATAGCAGGTCTGTGTTCAAGGACTGGGGACTGTCACCAGGAAACTCGGAGCAGGGAGTTGATTCGAGGGAACTGTGACAGGTGCTCCTGCTTCCACCTTCTAATTTAAAATAAGAACATTCAAAATAAGATATGACTGTACATAAACAGTAAGAAATTAATTTAAAAACAAATTTAAAAAATATATTTTAAATGAAGGATATTTTGTGGGTGAAGAATAAACCTCTTAAGTGCAAATTATTCCAACACAGAGATAGTTTATATGTATGCAAATATCGTACACACCAATGGGCTTTGAAGCCTCACTTGAGAAATGCTAATTAAGAAAAACCAGGGAACGAAGTGAGATGTCCAGCTGGATTACAGACCCATTCTGTAAAATTATTAAAATGCTTAGGGAGCTGATAAAACTTTCCTTCCAATATTGCAGTGATCTTTAGCTAGAGAGGCTTAACAGGCACCAAAAAGTATAAAGTTAAAAACATTTCAATATTGAATACCATATTTGGTAACATATCCAACACTAAATGTAAAAGATCTCAACTCATCTATGTAACAGCTCTAATTGTCTTCCTATTTCCATGACTTTACACCTATGTTCACAGAATCTCTGGTTTAATAAATGGTATGCATAGATAAACCAACATTTTAATTTAAATATGGAAAAATAAAAAACCCAGTCCCTTTAAGTGGTGTGGTGAGTACACAGGAGGATGGTCTGCCATCGCTTAAGCCTTGCAGAGATGTGTGTGTATGTATTTTCTGATAATGTGTGAAATATTTCTCAGCATTCCCCAACTCCTTTGGGGAAGGAATGCATTTGTTTTCTGAAGACCTTTTCTGCTTTCTAACCAATGGGCCAGCACTAATTTAGCAAGAAGCAGCATCGACAGGCACCATTCCCAAAGAACTTGGTAAGACTGCCCCCAAGTGAGCTGCACCAGTCAGCATGTGCTTAGCTACAGAGCGTACCTGTCTTCTTTTTCTTCTTCTTTTTCACTTTGATAGGTTTCACAACAAGCTCCTGATCAAAGTCTTCAGAGCTAATGACGCTGAATCTCTGCAAGGAGGGCTGGCTGCCCTTGCCTGACTCAGGGGCTGCCTGGAGCCCAGGCAGCAGGAGCCCGGAGCTGCTGTCGGTGGAGTTGAGCGAGCTGCTCCTGCTCCTTGGCTCGCTGGGCACCGAGTTGGTCACGGAAGAGCCTCTGAGCCTTGTCTCAGAAACTGTGGCCCCTGGCAGCTTCTCCACACGCTGCATGTGGACTTGATTTGAACATCCTGACATCTCCAAGCCATCTCTCGCTGAGAAAGAAGAGTTCAGTTTTACCACTGGTCATCCAAGAGAAAGTCACTGTGCACTTACTCAGGTTTACTAGCCCTAAACACCAGCTGTCACAGCGGGAACTGAGGCTCCAGCCTGCTAAAGAGCTGAACGATTCTAATTCATAGAAACCTGAAAAACTAAAAGACCTGTACAAAATATTCAAATAAATAGTTTTTGTTCTCCAGAAAGTTCATATATCAAAATCAGTAAAATAATTTGCCATATCTGTCCCATGTAAATAACTCAATAGTAAGGGAATACCACTAAGAATACATCATTTCTCAGTTTAATTTACAAATTCTTTATAAAGGAGAGATGCCTGTGTATAAAAAACAGGTTTAGTTATATTTCATACTTAAGACTGTGCCTTGAATATACTTTAATATTACTCAAAAGGTATTTGAAAAACAGATATGTTTCTGTAGCTAAATTTCTTGATATTCAAGGAGGGAAAGGTTAATTTTCCACTAGAACAAACTCAAGACAGAGAAGTACATTAACAAAGTCAGCACCAATGCAAGCAGAGTGGAGCAAGGATCAGGCTGTGGAACGTGAGTTCCTGCACTCTGTCCCTAAGATACAGAGCTGGTGAGTTTCCCACTGCAGTGGACTCATCCTTCTCTCAACACAACACCATGAGATCACTACAGCCAGCACAGTTCCAGCTACAGTACCCTCAGCACAAGGCTGCAGCGACTTTGCTCCATTCAGCTGTCCTTTCATTACTGAATATCCACTGTAAACCAGACACAGTTCCAGGTGCTGGGATACGGCAGTCGATAAGACACAGCAACTCCTGCCCTTGTGTGCCCACATTCTAGGGCGGTCGTTCATGAGGGACAGACTGTGGGCTACCAGAGTGTGCACCAGGGACTGGCGGGGCAGAACTCTGTTCTGAAGTGACTTGTTGAAGACCACACAAGTTAGCGGCCATCTACAGCTAAGCTGTCCAATTTGGCAGCCACTAACCACACACAGCTATTTAAATTCACATTGATTGAAATTAAAGACAATTTAAAATTCAGTTCCTCAGTAGCACTTGCCACACCGCAAGTACTCCGGCCACGTGTAGACGGTGACCACCTACGAGACGGTGCAGAGGCAGAGCACCTGCGTCCCTGCAGAGGCTCTACTAAGAACAGCCGTGGTCGAGGGCTTAGCGCCAGGGCTCCAAGCCACTCCTTTCTGTGAGTCACGCTGCCTCTCGATCGCATTGCCTTAGGGGTCCCCACTCATAAATTCAAGAGTCAGAGCTTATTCTTTTGTTATAAAAATCATGATTTTGGAATATGCATCCCAACTTGCCCTCTATAACCTGAGATAAATGGCAGCAATGAGGAGAAGGACGAAGGGCCTGCGCAGCTGTTGTCACCACCGTCAGGAACAAGTTCAATGATATATAAAGTGCCATGGACGTCTACACAAGAATACCCAGGAAGATTCTCCATTCATTAAAGTTTGAGTTTCTACAAATTACAAAAAAAAAGTCAAAAGTATAGAGAATCTCCTTGGGTACAGTGGCATGCACCTGTAGTCCCAGATACTCAGGAGGCCGAGGTGGGAGGATGGCATGAGCCCAGGAGTTCAAGACTAGCTTGGGCGACACAGTCAGACCTCACTTCTCTCTCTCTTTTTTAAAGATGGGGTCTCACTCTGTCACCCAGGCTGGAGTGCAGTGGCACAATCATATCCCACTGCAGCCTTGAACTCCTGGGCTCAAGCAATCTTAGCCTCCTGAGTAGCTGGGACTACAGGCATGCTCCACCATGCCCAGATAATTTTTTTTTTTTTAAAGACAAGGTCTGGCTGCATTGCCTAGCTAGACCCCATTTCTTAAAAAAAAAAAAAAAAAAAGCACAGAGAAAAAAGTCCTACAAGAACTGTGTTAAAGGTAAAAAGTGCATCCTAGATGACAGATTTAAATCTTCTAAAATCTTATGCGAATCTATGTCTTTTGGAGTATTAGTCCCACTTACTCAGCCACAGCATTAGGAATCAGTAAAGCAGTTTCTGATTTCTCCTTCCTGATTCCCAACCTCCCCATCTTCCATACCCACGAAAGCAACTCCACCAAATGTGAGACTCTGTCTGATGAAAGCCTTAAAGTCAGTAATTTTCAAAAAACGTATTGTAAAAAAAAAAAATTAAAAAATAAAAAATTAAAATAAAATAGTGCATTATAATTTTATCTAAAAAAAATGTATTGTAAATGTTATTGTAAGAATCATAAGAAACCCTCCAAATCCTCCTTGTTTAAATAAAGTTGCAATAGTTTAGCAAAATAATGGTAAGTTCTACCAATTAAAACCTGCACTTACATACAATGGAGTGCAATATTCCCATCACACACAAAATGAATACAAACCTATTGACGTTAATCCTTCAGGCCTGCTCGAAATTCTTATAATGTTCCTATCTCCCTTCAAGAAAAATATTTCATTTTCTGTGCAGGAAACAGACACAATATCACCTGCTCCTTCCAAACCAGCAATTGTGGCCTGTCGAAAAATAAAATCACAAAATCAGACAATAGTAACAGTTCAAAGCATAAAAAAGATGAGCAAGAATCCAAATAAGTCAAATGATAATTGTACTTTGTTACAACAACTTTTGGAAAATTCTTGGAGTAAATCAGTCCAACATTAGATAATACCTGACAGATGAGAAGGGGTCTGAGAGTCCCCCTTGGCAGGTGGGACCTCTGCCATCTGCAGCCCCACGTCACCCCTGTCCTTGTCCCTGCTTCAGGTACACAGGCCAAACCCGGTCCTGTCCTCCATACTCATGTGTCTGGCATGCGCTTTTCTCTCTGCTTGAATTCCCTTCCTGGACCTGTTCACTGGGGAGTTCCAGCTAGGCCCAGGGGCCAGCTCCTCGAGAAGCAGTCCCTGACAAGCTCACCCTCATGGCCCAGCGCTCCCCAGTAGCTCACAGCACTTTATCCAAACCTCCATTTGGCACGTCACTCCCAGGCTGGAATGACGTGCGAACACGTCTAGATTCCCCTGCTATATGCGCTCCTGTGGGAGAGACTGGTGTGCGCTGCCATTCGTTGTTTTTGAATGAATAATAAAGGGAGAGAGGATCCCCCAGCCTCATATGAAAGCAAAAGGCAACAAAACACAGGACACCCTGAGCCCACACTGACTTAAAGACAGTTCTTGCTTTTCAGTCAATAGTGTAGATAAGAGACTAGTTCAATGTAGACGATAAAGAGTATCTAAGTTTATTGATAATTTTTAAAAAACCCTGATGAACAGCTGGAAACATGAGATGAGTTTCTGAAAGCTGCCAATCACGCTGCTGAGGGCAGTCCAGACTCTCATGGTGGTCAGCTATGTCTGGTCTTGGACAGTCCCTCTGTCTCCACTTCTCTGCCTATAAAACGAAGTTAATTACACCTACTGGGTGAAGCATCAAGTAAATGTTCAGATGAAAGAACTGATGTACAATTACAAAGTACCTTGACACCACTAATTAATAAGCACACATAAGTTCAAAAAGTATCCAGGGAAAGAAGAAAAGTTCTCTGTACTGGGGAAAGAGTACAAAATGTCTTTCAAAATATCCCTTATAAAAGAAACAAACTCAGGGCTAAAAGGCACTTGGTGATACCCTAATCTAATACTCTCCCCTACCCTTACCCTACTTTACAGATAAGGAAACCAAGTTCAGGCAGATCAGAGAGTCCTAGTTAAAGGCAGAACCAGACTAGACTCTTCTAGTCTGGTTCTGCCCTATCGGGTCATTTTTCTTTCTACCAAACCAGTATTACTAGGCATGGCTGATAATAATAATTAAGAAGGCTTCAACGAAATGCATATAAATTTCTTTTCTGCTGACACACACCAAATAAGAAAACCGCTTACTTTCTATAGTCAGGTTCTCTTATGAAAGAAGAGAGTGTCTGTCAGGCCTGCTGAGTTCGAGAGAGGAACACAAGCAGGACAGGGCTGGTCCAGAGTCTGGCAGTGAGGAGTGGGGAGGGTTAGACAGGGAGATTATTTTAAAAAGAGCAAAAGCTCTGCTCTTAAGACAAGGAGAAACTGAAACTGAACAGGTTTGTATAAAGTCCCTAAATCTGAGCTAGGTGCAGTGGTGGCACCTGTAGTCCCAGCTGCTTAGGAGGCTGAGGTGGGAGGATCCCTTGAGCCCACGAGTTCAAGTCCAGCCTGGGCAATATAACAAGACCCTGTCTCCTAAAAATAAATAAAGTTCCTAGATCCTTCTCTACTGGTAATCTGCTATCATCCTGATTTAAGCAGAAACTGTTGCCTACTTAATGATGTTGGAAACTTGCCCAAGATATGTCATCAAGTAAAGGTGAAACAAAAAAAGGCAAAAGGAATGGCTCCATAAAGGTAGGAATAGTCAAAAAACACACGACCCAAATGGATTCTAAAGAACACATAACTTCTTGGCAGGGGATAGGATTGTGAATAACAAAACCAAATTATTTTTTCAAATCTACAAAAATTACCAAATCTTCATTTGATTTCCTCGACTGGCCCAAAGGAAAAAGTACAGCGTTACAATCAAAACTGCTCCTTTCATCATTCTGAGAGCCCTGAGGCAGGACAGTCTGTAGATGAACACTCTCTAGCCTACAGACACCAAGGGGGTGGTGTAATCCCTTCACTTACCTGGTTGACGGTGTCTAGGAGGTAGATGCTATATTCATTCCAACTCAATACCCAGCCTTCTTGAAAGAAACAGGAAACCAGCCCCAGGTGCTTCTCAGGCAAGCTGCAACCTCCTCTGTCTGAGGGTTCCAAACGCGGGTATAGTTCAAAAGGTTTGATTCCTCCGGCAAAAACATCTTTTAGGATAAATGTGGCTTGAACAGTTCCACGGACATCAGCCTTCCATAGACGGAGACCAGGCCGTGATGCGTACAAGGTTAGATCGCTTTGCTTACAGAGTCCTGGTATAAAACAAGCACCAAATTTCCCAGTACTAAAATCAGAAGAAAGAAAGAAAGAAAAGACCAGAAAAGGACTGATTTAAAGTGATACAGTTGCCAACTCTGGTATTAACTACAATAAGAATTTTTTGACTAAACCTAAGGAACTGATTTTTCCTCCTTTCCAGTGTTTGATTTTTCGGTAATTAAACCACACTGTCATCACTGTGCCCACAGAGGCCCTCCTAACCCTCACAAGTGTGCACCCCACTGAGCGCACACTTCGATTCCATGGGGACCATTCACTGAGTACCCGCAGCAAAGTGCTGCATGTGGCACTTTACCTCCACTCTCCCGGTTAACCCTCATGACAAGCACACGGGGCAAGTACAGTCACGTGCCACATAACGATGTTTCCGTTAAGGACAGACTGCATATACCACGGCAGTCCCGTAATCTTATAATACCGCATTTTCACTGTACCTTTTCTATGTTTAGATACATTAATAGAAATACTCACCATTGCACTACAACTGCCTACAGCATTCAGTATAGTAACATGCGGTGCAGGTTGGCCTGGGAGCAATGGGTGTGTGGTAGGCTCTACCGTCTAGGTTTGTGTAAACGCACAAATGCATGGCTGTGGTCTCCAACTTCGGGGCTGCGGAGCAGTACTGGTGCGTGGCCTGTTAGGGACGGGCCCACAAGCTCCACTGCCCCCACCTCCTTTCATGGAAGACGGAAATATTGTCCTCCATGAAACTTAGTGGATGGGGGCGCACAGGAGGTGAGTGGCGGGCAGGTGAAGCTTCATCTGTATTTACAGCTGCTCCCCATCACTTGCATCACCGTATCACGGCCTGAGCTCTGCCTCCTCCACCAGCCCTGTCTGTGGAAAAATTGTTTCTTTTCCATGAAACTGGTCCCTGGTTCCAAAAAGGTTGGGGACCACTGCTCTATGGTGTTCACACAGTGATGAAATCACCCAACGATGCCTTTCTCAGAACATATCCCAGTTGTGAGGTGCATGAGTATATTACAACTCTCATTTTAGAGAAGAGGAAACTGGGGAGAAGGTAATAAATGCAGGTCCGTCCATCCTCCCCCTGCTCTGAAGTTCTCTTCCTTCTGACTGCTGTGCTCACTCCAGTGTCCTGAAAGAATGAGCTTCACGTCCAGAGTCACAACAACCCGTCTATATTGTTGTCCATTCAGAATTTCTCTAAAACCATCAAAGGCCCCAATTTCCCTTCCAGTTTCCAAGCTTGACTTTTTAAAAATTATGAAATATCTGACACAAGCAAAAGAATGTTTCAGAGAGTCGGGCTCACTTAACAATGAGGATATGTTCTGAGAAATGCATCATTAGGCATTTCCTCCTTTTGTGAAATCATGGAGTGCACTTACACAAACCTAGATGGTAGAGCCTACTACACACCCGGCCTGTATGGTATGGCTACTGCTCCCAGGCTACAAACTCGTACAGCATGTCGCTGTACTGAATACTGTGCGCAACTGTAACACAGGAGGAGGCGTTTGTGTATCTAAATATATTTAAACACAGAGAAGGTAATGCATGGTGCTGGGACATTACAATAGCTATGATGTCAATAGGCAAAAGGAATTTTTCAGCCTCACTATAACCATATGATTTCATGGCACTGTCGTATATGTGGCCCACTGTTGACTGGTATGTGGTCATACAGCATGTAACTGTGTATATATGTCTGTACATGTAGTTATGAAGCCTAATAATGAAACAGACACCCAGGAACCCATCCCCCAACTTAGGAAATAAAGCACTAGCACCCTACTGATGCTTTCTCCTGCTCCTAGTATTTCTTGTTCCCTCCTGCCCCATATGTGACTATTGGATTGAATTTTGCACAGTTAAATTACACTATGTATCCCTAAACACTATATAACTTAGTATTGTTTATCTTTTGTTTTTATTTAAAAAAAGATGCTAATTGTACATACTTTTGCAACTTGCTTTTTGCCACTTAACATTATGTTTCTAAGATTTTTCCTTGGCTTTTTTTTTTTTTCCCTTTTTTTTTTTTT